CACAAAATAACTAGATAGATTTGCAAAATTGTTTATGAACTATTTACCGGACGAGTCCATACTGGATCGGCCTTTGACTTCAACCTAGATCAGGTATCATTCTCATACTCAGTCTTTAATGCTGAATGTGAAAAAGCACTTCCAGAAAGTTAGAAGAACGAAAAAGAAGAAAAACATGCGAATTTTTTTGAAACTGAAGGATTTTTTGAAATTTCAGACTCTTCGAATTATTTCAATTTTTCGACTTGAAAACTTTTTTTTCAAACATTAAAAACAAATATTTTCTTCTCCAGGTTGACGAGCTCTATCCAACTATTTATAAAAAATGCAAAAATAAAAGCCTGCTGAATTTTTCGAATTTCCGTCACCTTAATTATTGTCAATTTGCCAATTTTTTCTTGTTAAATGGATAATTTACCCATTGCGATTGACAAAATAAGAGAGCACTTTTATAATATTCGAAGAGAGAGAACATGTTCAACATGTGTCGATTTTTAAAACAACAAAACAAAAACGCTAAAAGCTTCACATTGATGGCTTCAACGCCTCGTTGTTGATAATCGTGGTGACAAAAACAAATTGCCATCATACGTTATCCGTTTTGTTTATGGTCGGCAACACTTTCTTATAGTATAATAATCAACGTTCTTCTTATGGATGCCTGTATTGCAGGAGAAGATTAAGTATATTTAAAAGGTTTTAAATATTCCGCGTGGTTTTAAGGATTCAGGATAAAACTTGCAATCTCTCAGAACATTTCTGAAAATGTTTCACAAATTCAGTATAGAGCTGTAAAAGTTTGTTAATAATCGTATCTATGACAGAATTGTAAATGCTCGATAGACGAACTCACGATATGGATTTTGTGACTACTCTAACATTTTTAGTTGTAACAAATCACATGTATTATTATTATTTATATAAATCATCTAAAAAATCCTGTATTAAGACATTGTAAGAAAGAATATAGATATGACATTCAACCATCGAAGTTTTCATGGTCTCGAATCACTGTTAGTCAAGAAGATTCTGTTTATTTATTCAATTACGATTCTGTTTATTATACTAAGTTGTTCATTTCATAATAAAGAGTCCAAAACGTAACTTTCTACTCTTTTTTTTCAAAAATTTAGTTTCTATATTGAATAAATGTGTTGTACAGCCGCTTTTTTAACTACAGAAAAGCTCAAACTTTCGACACTTGAACTAGCCATCCCTGCGCATGCACTCCGCAAGACTAGCGAAATTAAAATAATTACTATATGTAGTGTTTACTGGACATACTAATTGTTTTTGATGTCAAATTCAGATCAAAGTTAGTGTATAGCTTTTATTTATTCAATAACATTTGTCATTATTCTGTTCATTTTTGTTTTCATTGTATACACGTTTATGTAGTGTATTAAGTTTATATATAACAGACTGTATATTAGGCAAAGAACATATGTTATATCATCTTTATCATCACAGGTATAGATAGAAAACGTTTTACACCTAACACACATTTTATCGAGCTATATTTATAGTTGCTGAAATAAAAAGAATTCTATCAACTTGCAACTTAATCGTTTTTCCTCTATTTTAAACCACCAACAACTCAAAATGAGGTTTCATCGAGAATTTTTAAGAGATTTTGAAAAAGTTTTCTAAAATTCTCCAGAAACCGATGTTTGAAAAATTGTGCTGTATACACAAAGCAAAGCAAAAATAAAATGTTTTCAAAAAATGTCAAATAGTAGAGCAAACATTCCTGAACAAAACGAGACGTTTTCCAACTCTCAGAGGTGGTTTTTGATTAAAGTTATGAGAGCTATCAAACAAACCCTGAAATATGCAGCATGCCGACGTTACCATATCTGAAAACATTTTTTTTCTCTTAAACCCTTTACTAGGTTTCTCTTCTATTTTTAGTCCTAGAAATCTTGTGTGAGTGCGACTAAGAGAATCTCATTAACCTGAAAAGTGTTGGAAAAGTACTGTTTGCCGTTTTTTGAAACAAAATAAATTATGTTCGTTGAATTCGATGGCTTCATTTAAGAGTGCATGATTTTGCATTTTTGGATCAATTTGATTGAAAACGCAAATTATTAATCTCTCTAGTTTTCGGAACGTTTCATCTCGTTTTCATTTTAATATGGTAAACTTAGGAGAGAAGGTTCGAAACAATTTTCAGATTTTGGACAAGAATTATGACAACGATCTTTATTTTCTTTGAGCGCTCTGTACGACCGTTGTAGTAGTCGCTCATAGTAGAAAGTTACAGTTTCGACTTCTTATTATAAAATGAGCACCTTAGTGCAATGGAGAAATTAAACGACTTGTCGGCGTAGGGCGTTTGATTGTGTTTGTGTTACACTGCGACGACTTCGATAATTTAATAAATTTACAGATGGAAAATCGTTAAGATAGAGATGGGGTTGTTGTATGAATAGAACATTTAGTTCAAAACTTGTAAAAGAGCACGAGCTGTAAACGATTCATTCCTCATTCATTAGACGAATATATTTTTATTTTCGAATATGAGATGCCTCCCTCCTGGTGCTATATAAGCTTCCTCCCCGAAGAAAACAATTTAGTGAAAATTTTCGATAAATGGTTTATAGGCAAAGCCTACTTTCCTTGAAATAGTTCGCTTTTCAATTGTGAGCATAGTCTGAATGTAGCTTGATCCTGTTAAGACAGCAATGAGTGCTGCTGGCTCTAAGGTGCTTTTCTAATTAGAAGATGAATGATTAGAAAAATTTGTTGGATTTTATGTATTGAGAAAACAACTTTTATTGTGACAAAAAGGAACGTAAACAAACAGAAACATCACCACCTAAAAATGAAACATTTTTCAGTAAACTAATTTTATTTTTCATTAAAAAAAGTATTATAGCAGACGCTATAGTTAGCTAAAACATTAGTTTTAAAAAGTTTTGTTAAGAAGCCCTTGTTGTTTTCGTTCCATCCTTCATTTACATCATATGTTATGTTCTAACGTAAGAAAGTCATATATTTATAGTGACCTTTCTCCTCCTCTCTGTTCTACTGACGTCATTAGTCCGGCCAGTAGTAAATGTCATAGTCTTTCCTGTTCTTCTGACGTCATGATGCCATTAAGTCCTTTACTGATCCTTTCTCGGATGTTCGGTGATATGTATATATAGCGATATTTTTCGTGAATGTATAGCATAGTAATTTGTTACTAAATAAAGTGAACAAGTTAGAGAATTAATCAAGATAGGTTTACTACGTAACAGGTTTCTGAAAATTATTCAAAAAGTCTCTGAAAATCTTCTGAAGATTCTTATCATATGTTTATTGAAATTCACGTTGTTTCTTATCTATAACGCTAATTTTTAACTAAATTTCACGTAATCATACGATTTTTTTTGAAAAAAGCCATTCCCTATTTATGATGAATATTCGATAATTTTTGAAAAGAATCAATTTTCTCCACAACAAAGGAGTATAAAAAGATCTCTATGTACTTTTTTTCCCCGTGTTAGGATGGTTAGGATGAAATAAGAACATTATCTTGATCTAGTAACCCCCAATGCGAGACAGATTTGAAAAATAGTCATTAAAATTCACCATCATTTTGCTCATGTTCCGCGGCGTCTGGGATAAGTATAAGTTTTAAAAATGTCAGATTTGGTGTTTTAGACTAAGTTTAGTAGAAAGAATCAAAAAAAATAGTTCTAGAATTTAGAATATAATTGCGGTGAGAACTGGTTAATTTTTCAAAATTTTATTAATTTTTGCCTAATTCGCCCGCACTCATCATTTTAATTTTTTTCCTCACTAGAAAATGACTTCTAAAATTCAAAAGTTGATATTTTCCTGTGCAACTCGATGAGCTCTATTCGATCATGTCAAAAGAAAAGGAAAAAAAAATTTGCTTAAATTTTAATTTTCTGACACCTTATAATCAGCAGCACTCATTGCTGTCTTAATAGGATCAAGCTACATTCAGACTATGCTCACAATTGAAAAGCGAACTGTTTCAAGGAAAGTAGGCTTTAATCGTTTTTTGCCTATAAACCATTTATCGAAAATTTTCACTAAATTGTTTTCTTCGGGGAGGAAGCTTATATAGCACCAGGAGGGAGGCATCTCATATTCGAAAATAAAAATATATTCGTCTAATGAATGAGGAATGAATCGTTTACAGCTCGTGCTCTTTTACAAGTTTTGAACTAAATGTTCTATTCATACAACAACCCCGTCTCTATCTTAACGATCTTTCATCTGTAAATTTTCGCCAAAATTTTTACCCTACAAATGCCCATGTAACATTTTTCTCAACTTGCGTCCAAACAAGTTGTTTGAGGATAAAGTGCGCGAAATAAATTCATTTTCTTCCCCTGTTGGTATATGTGTGAAACTGATCAACGACGTATAATTCAGTTCCTTGAATGGCCATACAGTTATAAAATTTGCTCTTCAAAATGAGACATTTGGTACTGTTTTGATGGATGAAACCTCTTATTCCATTTAAATCTTTTTCTTTGTTTTTTAAGAGTATAATATTTCAGCACTCTCACGTTCTCAGCTTTTTGAAACCCTAATGAAATATCTAATTCCATTAATCGATAAGAATAAACATTTCCTTTGATTTTTTGGAAAGCCATCCCAGTAATGTAATCTGCAATTCGAAGAAAATTTATTTTGTATGTGCGTGTATGCATGACAGGGATCTTAAAAATGCATTTTTACAACACAACGGCTCCTATAGAAACACAAAAAATTACTTTTCAGGTCTGCCAACAACTATCAATATTTAATTCTTTTTCATATTGTTTTTAATTTTCGTTTTACCCTTACTCTAACAAAAAAGTCATGTCTTTACAAAAAAACCCAATAAAATTCAAATCGCAAAATCGCAAATCGAGTAAATCACCAGTTGCTGAAAATCCACGCTGTTCTACTTCATTTCGAGAAAGTGACCACGAAAAATGTGATGGTCAGTCATATGAACCAGCTAATACCTTAGACAAAGAAATAGATAAAATTAATTATGCATCGTTGAGTACAAGTTATGAACGTTTACATCAACAACAGAAACAGTTACCAAATGTAACTATAAAACGTGAAGAAAAAATATCGTCAACAACACAAATACAAACAACATCAACACGAAAAATTATATTAGATGTAGAAATAGACGATGAATATTTGACACAACAAGGTTCGTATCAACGTCGGCAACGACGAATGGGAAAATTGTTTACAGACGATGAAGTGCAATATTATACGGAAAAATTTGCGCAACAACGAGAGCAAATACTGGAAAATGAAAATAATAAAATTCAATTCATTTATGAATAACAATTTAATTAAAATGCAATTTTGGGAAAAAAATAGTCAATAACAAAAAACTCTAGAATAATGGCGTTCTCCTTCTTTCTTAGTTCATTCTGATAGTCTGACAAATTGTCGGCATGCTAACTGCTGGCATTCTCTCATAAAATTTGATTTCATGATTGCCATTGTCTGATGAACGTAACGCGTATCTTTCGGCCCAGTTTTTTAGCTTTCTCTCTCTCTCTGAATAGAAGATAGAATCAATCATTTTGATACTTCGTGAAATGTTATGTGAAACACTGCAGAACATGAAAATTTTTACTTGATTTCTATTTTTGGTGAAAATCTAGGTAATTTTTCAACGTGAAAATTTAACAAAAACTAAAGTAGTCGGATAGGATGGAAATACACATTAGCCCACTCTGTTTTTGATCCTGATTCCAAATATGATATTTTTATTGCATAAAGGTTGAGTTCTGATGGAGAAAATTGAGAACTACGTGCAGAATTCTGACTTTGCAACAACATTTCTAATGTTGAGGTACCCCTAGGACATGTTTTTCTGTATATCATATATATCAAATTGTAGCTCGACTAATTCACTATCGAATGGTATACTTATTGTAGTGACCGAATGAGAAATGTTGACATAGAATATCTAAGACTTTTTGCTCGTAGGAGATCATTTTCTATAGCCAGAAGTATTTCTAAACATATCTGGCCTCAGAACGGCTATTTCCGTGTATGTAATATACAGAAATACAGCGAAGAAAAAGGGCTTTCGAACGATATATAATAGTCGTGAGGAATTGTGAAACTAAGAGTGAAATATCAAACCTACGATCTATAATATATATTAGATGCAGTAGACACTTAGAAAAAAATTGGTCGAACCAAATTCGATTCATGAGAGCGGTTCTAAGATCTATAATTACCTAGGAATATTCTCCTCTTCATTCTACATCCAGCCTTTGATTAATCAATGAAATTCAGTTATGGGTCGATTTCATCAGATAATCGCCCCCGTCCTTCACTATAAATTATGAAACAACAATAAGCTACATTCATCTCCTAGTGAGGTCGCTATCCAACCACTTGTTCGAGGGGTTATCGATTTCGACCTCTCGGGTTTCAGATAGGTGGCGATTCCTCGACAAAAATTCCGAGCTGTCGAACAGAGATGTTTGGAAACTAGCAGATGAAAAGACCTTCGAGCTCTCGTCGCATTCGACAGGGGCTCGGAAGTCCCGTGCATCTCTGTTCGACGGCTCGGATTTTTTCTCGATGACTCGCCACCTTTCTGAAATCCGAGTGCTCGAAACCGATAACTCCTCGAACGCTTATATCGGGAGTTCGAAGTCTCATTTTTTGTGTAGACTTTCGCTGCGTTAGAGACAGGATTTTTAGCTACTTGCCCGTGAAAAATCGCTTCGAATACCTTCAGGATAATGGTCTTAAAAGCAGTCTGATCTTAAAAGTCACTGAATTACTCCACTTTACTCTAATTAGCTTCTTTCTGCGCATATAAAAAATAGGAGAAAGAAAGAGGACGGATGCAATTCCCATAGTGAAAAATAAATCATGCGTTTCACACGATTACAAGGTCTTTTTATTAACTGATCAATCGTTCGTTCGTCATAACAATCGGTATTGGTTGCAAGTAAACTCTTACGTGTACGCATTAAAATTTGAAGTCTATAACAAATGGGTAATGGGAAATCTCAACCAAATATAGCTAATTCCTCCACCGTTTCACAAGAAATACAACTAAATGATGTGCCAAAGCGGGAACGATCACAAAATGATCGCAATGAAGAGGATATTACGTTAATATGGTTTGATGATCAGAAAAATACAACAGATGAAGAAGCAAATAAAACAAAAGAAATATTGAGACTCGTTAATGATTATTTCCTATTCTACCAAGATGAACAGGTATGTTTAAATTACATTGAGAAAGTTATAAAAGAAAAAGTGTTACTAATTGTATCTGGATCATCAATCACACAATTTATCACAAAAACTCACAACTTAAAACAAGTTGATTCAATTTTTATTTTTTGTTGTTCTGATCAAGATAATCTGATGGAAACATTAATGTCAGATTATCCGAAGATAATTGGTATCTATACAGATATTCAAATATTGAAACAAGCAATACAGAAAACACTTGATTTGATAGAAAAACAATCAGCTGCCTTCAGTTTGTACGATGAAAACGAAAAAGACACACGAGATTTAACCAAAGAATCTGGTTCATTTCTATTTTTTCAACTTTACAAAGAGGTTCTTCTTAATATGGAACAGACAACTGAATCGAAAGAAGAAATGATCGTAAAATGTAATGATTACTATAAAGGAAACAAGAAAGAATTAGAAAATATTAAATTATTTCAGACAACATACAACGCACTGGAAGCGATTAAATGGTACACTAAAGATAGTTTTGTGTATCGTATTATTAATAAAGCCTTGCGAACAGAAGACATTCATAATCTTCATACATTTCGTTTTTACATTATTGATTTGTGCAAGAGTCTGGAACAAAAATATAAAGATTTGAAACGACGACAAAAACAATCGTCAACGTCCGTATTAAAACTCTATCGTGGTTTGAAACAAACAAAGGAAGAAGTTTTGACGTTACAAAAAAATGTGGGAAGCTTAATGTCAACAAATGGATATTTTTCAACAAGCCGTCAACGCGGAGTAGCAGTTAATTTTGCTAAAAAACCATCTAATAGACTGGATATAGAGGCGGTTCTATTTGAAATTATTGTTGATACACAAATGGTGAAAAAAATTATTTTGGCAGATATATCGGAGCATAGCGAGTTTCAGCATGAAGAAGAAATTCTATTCGATCTAGGTTAGAAATTAGAATTGAGACAATGTTCTTTTATTACAGCATAAGTGAGCGAAGTTCTATTACATAGAAATTATCAGTTTGTATACCTTCTACAACATACTTCAAATTATTTATTACTAAATAGAATACAAGAATATTTTAGGAACTTACGAGAGAACCTTCCTAAGTGTCCAATCGCTTTTTCCTTAAAACATACACGATTGTGAGTAATCGGTAAGTAAAATTTTTCTTTTTGTTCATTGCTTCTGAACATTTTCCCACATAGGTAATTCAACGTGCTCTACAATCTGGCAGTACCAAAATATGTTCAGCTAGAAGTTCATAGTGAGTCTTCGAACACCTGGATTCCAAAGATCCATCCCAGAAAGGTTTAGCTGCAGAAACGGATATCAGATTCGTGATCAGCATCAAAGAGTACCCACAAATGTATATGATTTAAGGAAAAATCGACTGGATACTTTGGAAGGTTCCCTCGTTAGTGCTGGATTGACTATGAATTTCTGCAGTATGCCATGTCACAAATAATGTCTAGTAGAATAGTCGATGAAGCAACAATTTCTAAGATTTAGAACTTCACCCAGCTCTCTATTATGATTCTTTCATTTTATTAATTAGGTTCTGCATTTATAATTGATAATGTTGTCTATGATACTGATAATAAAATTTGGCTTATTTATGCGACTGCTACAGATAAAGGTGCCGAAGTGGCTAATGACTATATCAATTTTCAAAAAAAGAAAATAGCCGAATCCAACATTGTTTTGATGTTTGGTCATTTACTTGCTGATATGGGAGAATATGCCAAGTCACAACAATATTTTGAAAATGTTTTACGTGGCAGACCGAATGATGAAGAGGTAGCATGTATTTATTATAACATTGGGAGAGTACATCGTCTCAAAGGTGAATACGAACGTTCCTTAGATTATTATTTTCGTGCCTATCAGATGCATTCTGAAGCACGACCGGCACGCATGTTATCAGCAGCGAAAAGTCTAAATGGAATTGGTGTGGTGTATAATGAAAAACAAGAACGTGAACTATCGCTCAATTATTTGATGCAAGCATTGAAAATATATGAAAAAACTTTACAAGATGAGCATGAGAATGTTGCGGGAACATTAACTAATATTGGAAACGTATATCGTGATCAAGGTCACTTCGATACGGCATTAGAGTATTTGACAAAAGCACTAAAAATAAACGAAAAAGTATTACCTGCGAATCATCCCAATCTTGCCTTCACACTTAATAATATGGGTAATGTTTACTACAAAAAGACTGATTATAAAAGAGCACTGGAGTATTACACTCATGCTTTAAAATTAAAAGAAGAAACGTTACCTCGCGATCATCCGGATATCGCTCGTGGATTAAACAATATCGGCTTGATTTATTATAGTACTGGTGCTTTCGATACTGCGCTAGACGTTTACACAAGAGCCTATCTGATGTGCGTAAAAACATTATCTGATGCACATCCACTATGTTTAACAATACAAAACAATATTAAGCTTTGTGTTACGAAAAAAGATCAGCGGATGACCTATTCTTCTGTGTAAAATTTTTTGAGAGTGTTGTTGTGTTAATAAAAAAAGGTTTTAGCGAAGACTCTGTGCATAAAGATGAATGTGTGAAGTAAATATGTTCGTATAATTCTATGCGTCTCACCTCATACGCGTATATATGTCATACTACGCTCAAAGTGGATAAAGTCTCAACAATGAGAAATACTCTAACGCTCAATACTTACTGCTTTTAAAGGATGGAGGGTGGTTTCTGGCAATGATTTCTGGTAATGACCCTATATATTTTTGAGAAGATAACGATTGGAACGAATCAGAAACCGTTCGTTATTACTCAGAGGCGTCTTGATTTGTTCAGGAATGTTTTCTGTACATGATGAAGCTATTACAAGAAAAGTATCACCCGAATTTGAAGTTTTAATTTTCTAGGGTTTTGGTTTTCTAGAAACCTGGATCCCAGAAACTTTAATGGAATCTTTATATGCCGCAAACCAGATTGAAAACTCTTTGAACCATGCAAATCTTTTTGCAAATCTTTAAATTCTGCATTTTTCTATATACAAACTATGCCTAATCTCTGTCTGTGGAAAAACTATAATCATTTTTATGTACTTTTATAGGAAAAAAATCGAGATCTCTGTCAAGTATTTGTCCAATACATCTAAGAAGGCAAATATTTAAAACAAGAGCTTTCAATTCTATATTTTCCTATGTATAAACCATTCCGGGTCTGAGTGCGCCGACGAAACTATATACATTTTATTATATTCAATGAGGGTTATATATGTATGAGAAGCAAATAGTCATAGATAATGTTTGACCAATAACTCTATGAAGACATTAGTTTTAACAAATGTGCTATAGATCATTTCAAAGCCAATGTAATTGTACATGTTTTTATATATAAAATTCTATTAAGAACATCGAACTTCCAGAGAAAAATGAATAAATACAATCGAATAGGCTTTTTTAGACCAATGCTCAGAAATTATTAAAAACTTCAGCATATGGTAGTCTCCAATCAACTTTCAAGACGCAGAAATATTAAAAACTAAATACCGAACGGTTTCTGATTAGTTCCAGTCGTTATCTTCTCAAAAATATATGGAATCATTACATTGCACAAACCACTAGTACCAGAATCCATTCTAAAAAATAGAAAACGTCTACAGCAAACGAAAACTTGCTCGTGGTACGAGCAAATAATCAACATTCGAATAACATTGATTTTTCATTCAACTCCAGGGATGAGCTGAATGAGACTCGGACTCGATAAACTGACTCAAGTCACTTTCGAGCCACCCATGTGAAACTTTGCATTATTATAGTATTTCTTATATATTCGTTATATATCATTTGAGTGAAAAGAATTAATGATTCATGAAGCATATCTAGTCAAGAAGAAGTGATCTTGTATTTCTTCAGTTCATCATCAGGCTGCTTAAAAAAACAGAGGCGAGCTGAAAGGTATTGTTGGAAGAATGAATCATAGGGAATGTTAATCGTTTGAAAAATGGCTCTAGTCAGTTTTTGATGCTACAAGGCGGGTGGTTCGCGTCATTGCCACTCAGCGTTTATTCTAGCTATCAGCAACACAAAAATAATTGTGACAACATGAAAAACAAAAACTGCTTCAACCCCAGCAACTATACTCTAAAAAACGTATTTTATCAAACCAAAAGGGTTTTTAGTTTGTGTTCCAAACCTGAAAAGGGTTTAGTTAAAACATGAAAAAACTAAAAAGCGTTTTGTAATTACTAAAAAACTCTTTAGTTTCGTACAAAATCGTATTTCTAATTCCTTTTGTAATAATAATTTGGTATTATAAAATACGGTTGGACTTTTTGAATTACCAGGAAATACCAACACAGTTTTTCGGTCCGCTGCCAAACCCTCTTCGCGGCTTGTCCAGCTAACGGTATCATTTTTTGCTCTTTTTCAAAAGATTTTTTCAAAGATTTTGTACGACAGCTGTATTGTCATAACTAATCAATATTCAGAGCCAAGACACTTTTCATTTTGTAGAGAAATGTTTAATGTACTTAATTATGTAGTTGCAATTTTAGATTAGTTTGTAGCTCAACTGCAATAATCTTTTGAAAAAGAGCGAAAAAAGGATACCATTAGCTGGACAAGTCGTTCAGTTTATCTGTTTCTCGAAGAACCGAAGCTGATTTAGTACAAACCTTTTTTTCTGAATCATTAAAGTACCCAACTGTTCTGCAGCAATACTACGAAACTATCGCGTATTGTATTTTTCCTAAAGTACACGATCGGTTTTGTAATTAATCAAGTTGAATTTTTTATAATATGCATAGATCGTTTTCAGAAGCGTGAAACTCAATGCTATAGTATTGATGAATGAACAGATATTGTAGATTAAATTCGATTTTTTTGGGTTATAGTTCTTTTGTTTAAAGGACAAGTGGCAGAATGTAAGGTTTCGTGCCCAAAAAATTACGCAAAAAAACTCATAAAATATACAGAGTTCCCTTCTAAAACCTTGAAAATCGGATCTTCACTTTGTTGTGGTCAAATGAAGCCTCTAGACATTGATTTTCGACTTGAACGACACACCATTAGAAAGAGC